TTTCCAACAGATTTTAGGCTCTGTGTAACTGATACATCTACTATTGCCATCTGAGTGTCTCTAAAAATGGATAATATAAGAGGCAACCTGCTTCAAAGCTCCTCTGTTAAAGAATGTTGTTGGGATTCACATGTATGAGTCCCTCATATGGTTTCATCCAAAAATCCCTCATGCAAAGACATGGGGACTTACCTGGTACTCAGCATTGTCGTGTACACAAACTCTCTTGGCAACTGTGAAAAGAGATGAAAGTTTATAATTATGTGAACAAATGAAGTGCAGATTTTTTTAATCCACGTCTTGGCTACTTCCTCCACAAAATATCATAAAACACATGCTAAAAAATATAGCCCAATCTCTCATCTTGTATTGCACACTGTTCAAGTGTGACAAGGCACAAAATGTACCTGCCAAATAAGAAGTCTGTCTGGTTTGATAAATACAGCCCAATATCTTTATCCTAGGTTTTACACCCTACAAACCCCATTTGACAGATGCAAACTATTTCCTGCTCTTCTTGGGATGAGATAGGGATGCTTCACGATGACATAGGGAAGGTTCACCAGCTTTTCTTATTGTGAATGCTCATAGGGGCATTTGATTATAGAGGCTTGAATGGGGAATGTAGTCCTGGTCAAATCTCTCATTACCCTTACACAGGCATATAACCAGAAATATTTGACCTTGAAAAAAATTACTTGACCTGCTTGCGCTACTACTTCCTCAGCTGTTTCCTGGGTTTACCCCTAGTAGAAACCTAGACAATATGATCAATTCTGTTACCCCTTCCAACAGACAAGCTTATACCAACCTCACTCTCAAATGTGAAGTAAAATACTGACTACAATATTATGCTGATAAAAGACTTACTGCACTTATACTGAGGACAGCATCCATCGTGGGGAATAGAGGACTGAACTTCAAATCCTGGTTTACATATAGGTGGTTTGCTTATGCACAAGTTCGTGTTGCATCCTGAAAAGGGGAAAAGCCAAGAAAAATGTAGATTGATATATGTTTATAAGTTCTTGGTCCAAGCATTTAGCAGCACTGAGTTTCACAGGCTAATCTCACTTACCTTAGCCCTAATCATTTAGTATTTCAGCTAAAAAATAGAGTAATACAGAAACACTGTTTGCAATGGCACTTCTCATCCTACAGCTCTCTGATCTGAAATCTCTGCCTGCTCTGAGCTAGGAATGGGTTGATACTGCCTTGTATACCTGCTGCCTTTGGACCATGAGTCCCAGGTCACCACTTTACTATGATAATACACAAGCTATAGATATACACATGAGACAGATTCATTTCCTCTCATGGAAGAATGTGCCAGTTGAAATTCCCAGCACCAGTAAGGTCAGTTGCTCCCCTGTAATAGGATTCAAGTGAACGATACAGTGATGGTGCCATTATCTGCCCTTCAAAGGTGCTCTGAAAATCCACTAGCAGAGGCTACCTAGAGGATGCATCATCCCCCTGCTAAACAGTTAGCACTGCCTCCTTTTGGGGTGGTGATATTTGGCAATAAGCTTCCTAGAGAAGAGAGGTTGTAGACTCCTTGCTCTGCAAATTACCTTCTTCCCTATAAACTTTCTATATGCCACATCCTGTCCAGTGGAAGCCAGTTAGTGGATGGTGGAAGATTCACTGGATGGTGAAGACCAATGTAGCATATAGCCATCACACATCAGAAAACGGTAACAGTGTACTAGGCAGATTAATAATTGGAGAACTACTAGGAGACCATATCTCCAGGACTGTAATCAGCTATTGCAAAACAAAAAAAACAAGATCCATGTATTTTTCTACATTATATCATTGTCACTGGGTACATTTACACATGAAATCAGTGCACCTGAATAAACTCCAGCACAGTTCATGCTCAAGTTTATTGCTCCCAGGCGCAGCATTTACATGTATACCCAAAACCACAGAGCACTGAGCCAGGGTGGTACAGCCCCAGCTAGCAAGGGACCCAGGGTGTCAGCCTAGCCTGGAGCTACTCTACCTTGGCTCAACATGCTGCAGAAGGGCTGGCTGGGGCATGGGGGTGTTCAGTATGGAGCTAGTTGGCAGGCAGCCCCTGAACTGTAGCACCTTTATGCCCCAGTCAGCATCTACACATGCATTCCAGTGGAGTAAATAACTCTGCCATAGGATAGTACTTGTGTCAGGCAATACTATCGTATAGTGGAGTTA